CACTTGAAGAGACCTGTGCTCCTCACTGCCACCAGAAGTAGGAAACTTGCCATTTCTGAATGAATAAGCCCAAAACAACTTTGCAGCAACACAGGAAATGAGCCTCTTCAGGGAAACTCACTGCTAAGAAGGAAAGGTAAGAGAGTGCTTAAAAAGCCACTTGCCTGTGATTCTGCCTATTGTCCCATGGACATGGTTGCCAGCAAAACCAGCCACGTGGGCACCCAGGCTGTACCCAATCAGGTGGACATTCTCCAGCTGGAAGAGTGGGTTTTCCTGCAAGGAAAAGAAGATATGATAATTTGATCTCCCATCTTTCAGGGCATCTGGCACTGCTCCTGTCTGCAGGGCTGTAAAGTCCAATTCCAAGGAGAGATTAGAGGGAGGGGGTGGATAAGCATGTTTTATGCTTTATTTCATCATACCAAGCTGAATGGTTTGGGTGACACTCGTGGTTTAACCAACTTGCAACCCCAATTATGACACTCTTTGTTCAAGCAGCATCTGGAGCAGCCTTTCCCCAGGGAGCTGGCAGCAGACCTCAGCACTGGCTGCGGCCTCAAGTGCCAAGTGCAGCACTGTGGGCCTTTCCTTCTCCTTTCCCACCCTCTTGCCAAGCCAATGCTGACTCTGAATGCCCAACTCCACATTGCTCAGGTGGAACTCCCAAATCTGACCTCCACTTCAGCATCATTGATCCAAGCACGCTGCAAGGCAGCATCTCCCAGGAAAGCAAGGCAGCACTTGCACCTCAGCTATGAGCCATCATCACCCCACCAAGCCCTGGGGTGGAGATTACACCACAGCCTGTCCCATTGGTGAGCCTTGGAGCTGGTGAATGCTCCGTTTCCTTGTGCAACAGTCCCTCACAGAGCATTACAACAGACACTGTTCCTAACTGGTGTTACCTGTAACCAGTCAAGCAGCCTTGCTATGGTTTTTCCAACAATCTGTGTGTTGTTCACAGCATCAGTGTAGAGCTGGTGGGCAAGTGAGAGCCAATCCACCACCACCACGTTGGCATCCTTCTCCCTCTCCTGCAGAGCAGACACCAAGCTACCCAGCCAGGTTTCAAACATGCCACTCATCTAGAAGGAGATTCAGGTGTTAGTTTCCAGCTCACAGGACCAAAGATGACACATCAACAGCTGAGTTATTTGTGTATCATTTACATATGCTGCTCCAGCTGCATGCTGCTCCTCTGCAAGCCCCACTGCTTCTCAGCAGTAATGGGGTAAGAAAAACAGGTTTTGAGAGACTCTGGCTGTAATTAGCCACTTGCCTTTTAAGGGAGGAGGGAGAGGCATTCGTTATGTGCCACCTTATCGCTCGTTTTTTTCTCAAGAGCCTCAGAATTTCTGATGGATTGCAAAATTATTCCCCAGCTCTGGCACTGCAGCTTGCGCAAGCCCTGGCAGAGCTGATAAGGCCCCTCATGCCACACTCTTTGCCACATCAAATGCAGAAGGGCAAAAGAGCTTGATAAAGCCTGTGTGCCCTACAGTTTCTTTATCAAGGAGACCATGTAGTAACCATCAGGGCTGTGGGCACACAGCCCCGGTTACAGAAAGTCTAGATACATGCCTGTCAAGTTAAGTGTTGCATTCAGAGCAGTCAGGTAGTTGGATTTTAAGGAAAAATCCCAAGTTGCCTTTACCACATTCACATTACACAGCTATGAAGTGAGCTTGAGCAGTTATGAATGAGCTGGATAATTTCAGAGTTCTTAAGCCTGACCTGGCTTTGCTGCAGAGACCTCAAGTACAGCTATCAAGACACCACCGCACCCCAAACACGAGAAGTTTTCCCAAATCCCATCTATTCATAGAATCCCAGAATGGTTTGGGTTGGAAGGGACCTTAAAGATCTAGTTCCAGCACCCTGCCATAAGCAGGGACACCTTAAGAGGGCACAGACTCAAGCTCTGCCAGGGGAGGGTTAGGTTGGATGTCAGGAAGAGATCTTTTAGGGAGACAGTGATCGTGCATTGGAATGTGCTGCCCAGGGAGGTGGTGGATTCGCCATCCTTGGAGGTTTTCAGGCTGAGACTGGATGTGGCACTTAGTGCCATGGTCTAGTGACTACAGTAGGGTTGGACTCCATGATCTTTGAGGTCTCTTCCAACCTGGCGATTCTATGATTCTACCAGACCAGGATGCTCCAAGCCCTGCCCAGCCTGGCTGTGCACCCTTCCAAGGATGGCGCAGCTGCAGATCTTCCAGAAGAGAAATGCCCTGGAGGCACAGCCCGTTCGCAGGGCACTGCACTCTGCCGGAGCGGACAGACCACACACCGAGCGCTGCCCAGGATCCCCCACACTCACTGTCCACCCGTGAATGATGAAGAACGTTTTAGCCGTCACGTTGAACTTGCAGTCCTC